CGACCATGGCCGTATTTTCGCACAAGGTGCGGCACAAGATCATCACCTGGTAGACTTGCCGTCTTTTTCTGGCCTCGTTTTGAGATCAAGTCCTTGAATGACTTCATTTTTTTCGACGGGGTCTTGTAGGTAGTAGTACTGCAAGCTTGAACAAGAGAACTTCGGCGAGGCAATTTAATACTGTTGGTGATGTGTTGCTGTTACAGAACAGTGTGATGCATTAGTGCATGCGCAACGTTAGCAAACACTTTGGAGCCTTCTCACAATGCTAGTCGTGAAATTGGAAGTAGCAGCGCTCCAAATTATACGTTCAAACTTATTCTGGATTGAAGTTGAGTCCCAATATTTTGCCATATGCAAGGAGTCGCGGAAGCAAAAGACGTGGGTTGAATAAAGTGCATGTCGGTTTAGTCCAAGTGTTGGTCTTGGGACACTGTAAAGATGAGGTTTATTGCCATCACTCGTAAGACATGTACAAGACTACTGGCCCCAGAAGTCCGCTTACAAAGTTTATCATCACTTCCAAATTACTTGTGTACGCCTGTTTCATTGTGCGCGTCCTTGAGACCCGTGCAATCGGTACAGTTGGAGCAACTATCGCCGTCAGTCTTTCCGTCTATCGCATTGCTTCATACGCAGAATGCGCCACTTACTTTGTGCAGTCGTTGCAATCTACACAATTGCTGCAGTCTTCACAATTATCACATCCGGTACAGTTGTGGCAGCTGCTACTATCATTGCAGTCGGTGCAATTTCGACACCCCGTGCAGTCTATATTCTGGTTAGCAAATGCTCGAAGTCTGTCAAAACTTCCAAGAGTGGCGAGTGTACGAATGCAAAAGTAGCCTGACCTTTGCAATCCGTGCAGTTCTGGCCTGAATGTGAGGGGGAAAAGTCAGTGTTGTTCTTCTCGAGACATGGTTTCAAACCTACAATCCTCGCAACCTGTACAGTTGGTATTGTTACGGTTACCATTGTTTTCGTCGCTGGATACGCGAAGCGATGACTGACGACAGCCCATATTTAACGTACGTGATGGGCGAAACGACGATTGCGTGTGCAGGTAACAGGATTCCGAATGTGAATGCAGGCAAAGTGGACATGTATGTATCAGTTTTCATGGTGGGGAAAATGAGACGGCAAGAGTATGCAGCCACGACGTCATTTCTGACGCACCTGGAACAAGTGTTGGCGAGCCCAAACACAGGTATCGATCCGAACAAGGCAGGCTAGAAGTGCATAATCATGATAGACACATGTAAGCTTGGCGGAACTTGGACTAGACGTCTGCGTCCATCTTCCAACAAGTCTTTCTACCCAAGAAACCACAGTCGATATAGTGTATAGCTGCTGTGGATTGTATATAAGAAAAAACAATATTTAGCTAACATTGCTGCTGTAACCTAGAACTTCTACAGCTACATTAAGAGTGGTGCTAACCAACCACAACGCGACTAAACTCCACCCAATTCTCTTGTCCATTCGCCACTTGCGCAAAGGCACTGCAAGGAGAAGTCCAGCTAGCGTCACGAGCAGAGTGCCTCCGGAAATGACCAAGGTGGTACTCACGGCAATGTGGTAAGGTCTGAAATGAACCGACTGGTCTGGGTGCTTCTCATGGCGGTGCTCGCCCTTGGTGATGATCATGTAACATCCACTGAGGCCTACGCCGAGCAGGATATTAAGCATTGGGCCACCGAAGCAGGCTGAAAGTGCCATGATAGGAAACCCGAGCCGCGCAACAGTGATGTCGGCGACAAGATCACCAAGCGAATTGCCAACTGCGAAGATGGTCAAGCCGAGAATCGCGTCGGACATGTTGAGAATAACGCCCAAGGTACGCAAAACACCGACAACTTCATTGGCAATAGTGCTAATCCATGCAATGGCAACGGCAAATCCAAGAAAGCACAACGCGGGCCGCCAATTGGGTGCTTGATTCGAGGCAGTGGTCAAGAGGAGGAAGACAAGAAGGCAGAGTGAGACAAGCATGCTGTAAAGCGAGTGGCGAAGCAACACAACTGGGTTGTCGGGTTCGACATTTACCCAGACGACTAGTACCAAGAAAAAGGGCGCCGTAAAGATCTGGACGATCACCAGCCAGCGGTTCCATTGCGCTGGCCCGATGGATGTTGAGGTTGCCGGGAGCTGCTCGGGCGATTGCGCTACGTTGTCGGAACTTGTTATGTACACTTGCGGTGGTTGGCTGGTGGTGGTGCTGAAGGATCCACCGTCCAGCTGTCGAGGAAGGCTCGTAGACGATTTCGAGTTCGACAGGCCCGAACTGGTGGGGTCGTCTCGTGGCAAGACAAGGGATACACTGGGAGTTTGCGATCTCATGCTTGCATCACCTGGTGTAGCTGCGTGTGGCATACCGAGATCCAGGGAAAGCTGGGCATGGCCTCCGTCATTCTCGTCTTTTTGCGGCTCGACCACCGGAAGCGTTATAGTAAGCAGGAATACAGGCAGACTTGCGACTAGCCCCAAAAGCTTATCGAAAACGTTCTTGTCACGCCAGTTGGTCAAAGTGGGAAAGAGGGTAGCAACCAGACTATGCGGGGTCGGTAGGAGTGCCGAGGGCCACCACGTGGGAACTTTTGTTGGTTCGAGCTGCCCAAAGGAATCTCGTGGGAAGTAGGTAGATTCGAGTGACACACTTGGCGAAGGCGGACGTAGACTCTGAGGTCTGGAAGTGGACTGTGCTGACCAAGGGTAATCGGTGTAAGGCGGGAATGGTATGGGTGGGGAAGTCGCATCTGGTACGGCCAGCTTCAGACTAGGCTGTTCGCGGCTATGGCCGGAGTTTGATGCCGGGCTTGATCGTAGATTCAGCGAAGGCAGGACTACACGAGGAGGCGCTCCATCCTCGGCACCTGGAGGCGCCAAATTGTTGGGTGAAAGCAGCCTATCTCTCGGTGCCGTAGGACTCGGGGCTCTAGAAGAGCGGGAGACTGGCGAAGATAACGAGATAGTTGGTGAGGGCGGCGCTTCCAACAATCCGTTGCGCTCGCTGGGAGTGGCAGACGCAAATGTTATGTCAGGCACGCATTGTCCTTGCAGGGTGCTTGGCTGTAGTTGGACATTGTCAATGTCATTGGTGGAGACAGCTCGCGCTCGGTTGCCTAGACTCTGCTGGATCTCGAGATTCGGTCGGCTCAGGTGGGGTGAGGTGGAGATGTTGGAGGCGGAAGAAGGCAGGTCAAATGGAGGCCGAGTCGCTGGACCTGTAGTCTGTCCGATGTAGGATTGCTGCTGGGCAGTAGTGTAGGTAGGGTCGTCGGAATACCGTCGCAGGCTGATTGGCATAGACTGGATGTTGCGCGACTTTTGCAGTGAGGAAAGTACCGCTCGGAACTCCAAAGCTCCTACTAAACTGGGTCGGATCGGGGTATGGGTGTTGCGCCGCGACACGCTTGGGCGGTTGACGCGCATATTGTTGGTCAACTCGCCCATCCAGCGCTCACGTTCCTCCTCGTTGTCATCGTCATGTATCGTATTGTCGCCTCCTGCGCGTTCGAGCATGGAAAAGTCGTCAGCGGAGGCGCCGTACGCAGGGGTCGCAGAAGCAGCGCTGATTTCGTCGTCGTGGTACTCTGGAAACTCCTCCTCTTCACCGCCGGGTGTTACGTAGTGGCTCCTAACAGCGGCTGCTCGCGCGCGTCGGGCTTTCCGTAGGTTGAGCCACCAGTGCCAGGCCACAACAAAGGCGACGTAGAAGATGTAGAAGGCCACCATGCTAACGGACTCCCACAGGTGGAGTTTGCCGTCGACAATGAAGCCCATGCTAAAGGCAGCAGCAACAAGAAAGAAGCCGACGTCACGGACAAAGCTTTTGCGCGCAACCTGGAAGGGGCGGATCAGGGCCATGGAGCCCGAGACGACAGCGGTGATGAAGCAGGCAGCACCGATAAGCTCGCCGACAGCCAGACTGGCAGCGTGGGTGCGGAAGGCGGCAAAGGTGGAGAAGACATCGGGGCTGCCGTTGCCAAAGGCGAGCAGGGTCACGCCGGCCAGGCTCTCGCTCATGCCCAGCATGCGCGCTATGGTGTTGAGGTTGATGCAGAAGAAGTCGCTTGCGGCAATGCCAATGGTGCTGAAGAGGAGGGCGAGCCAGAGCGTCAGCAGGACAAAAGCGACGGGCTTCGCGTGCGGGAGGCGGCAGTAGTAGAGGGCGAGGTAGGACATGACGCCAGCCTCCTCATCGGGGCAGTTTGCGCGCACAAAGTCGCATTGGTCCAGCGCATGGTGGACGAGGCGGCACTCGGCGTCCTTGGTCGAGACGGCCCCCCTCGTGTGCAGAGCACGCCCGGCTGGGGCTTGCGACCGAGCCCATGCCAGCAGCGAGATGAGGGAGACAGCGAGTATGGTGAGGGCGAAGGGGCGCGCCGAGAAGCGGGGGCGGCGCAACCGCTGGGCGTGGGCGAGGATGGTCAGGTCGTCCATGGCCGAGGCATGTTGGTTGACGAGTCGAGGAGAAGACGGGTTTTAGACGGTGCGAGGCGTGAAGGCACAGCGGGCGACGAGCCAGCGGAGGGCGGTGCGTGAAGCGTTTGGGCTGGCGGCTGGTCCGGGGAAATGCCGCCACTGCGCTAGCGCGTGGCGGTGCTGCCGCTGCCTGTCTGGTGATAGCGGCGGGGCAATTGTGGCGCCCAAACAAACAACAGCAACATGGCATCGACGCCAGAACGGCTGTTGCAGCACCACACCCATCGCCCAACATGGCGCGCTCCACCAAGTATACCACGGCCGCCTCGCCCCAGAAGACGCCTGTCAGGTAGGCCCCAACGCTCCGCGCGGGCGCATTGCTAGGCTAACCCGTCGCCCGCAGAGTGCCGCTCAACGACGACCGCCAGGAAAAGGCCGCCCGCCGCCATGCGCACCAACAGGCCCAGCGCGACTCGATGCGCGCCTCGACTACGACTGCGACTCCCGGACGCCGCCGCGTGTCGCTTGCCGCCGCCCACGACACGCCACGCACCCCGTCGCAAGATGGCGACGACATGCCCGATGTTACTGGCACGGCTGTTACACCGGGCACCCACATTATGCCCCTGCTGGCCAACTTCGAGGAATGGATGAAGATGGCGACGGACAACGTAGGCATGCGCACGCCCGTCGTCGCTGCTCCAAGCTAACGCCCCGCTCAGAAAATCAACGCGAACAACTCGTGGAACTTCGCCCTCATCGACTACTTCCACGAAATGTCCCTGCTCAAAGAGGGAGACGGCGTCAACTTCCAGAAGGCTAGCTGCACGCTAGACGGCTGCGTCAAGATCTACACCAGCAGAGTCGACAGCGTTGCGACCGACACGGGCAAGCTGCTCAGCGGACTCGCCGAGAATGTGGGCAAGAAGCGGAGAGGACACGGCGACGATGCCGATGGGAGCGACGAGGACGAGGGCGACGGCGAGGAGGCTGAAGCCGGAGAGCATGGCCAGAAGAAGCGCAAGAAGAGGGCTGCTCGCTCTGCAGAAGCCACGCTCGCGTCGTCCTTTGCCCAACTGCAGAACAAGAAGATGGAGCTCGAGTTCTCGGTTGATCCGCTCTTCAAAAAAGCCTCGGCCGACTTTGACGAGGGCGGGGCCAAAGGACTCCTTCTTAACCACCTGGCTATAGACGGGAGCGGCAGGATTGTCTTCGACAGCAGCGATGACGCCAACGATGCCGCCACCCAAGATTCACTCCCCACTCATGACCATCAACTGGCCCCCGACGCCATCGATGTTGACATATCCGGCCTGACTGCCAAGTACTTCCACGATCTTTCCCAGCTCGACCGGCAAGACGTGTGTCCGTCGATGAAGACGTTCGATCTCGGCGATGTGAATGGCTCTATGGACCTTCCCTTCCTCAAGGCTGCTGACAACTCCTCCGGTGAAGACGGAGCCAAGCACGGAGACGACAACGCAGGCAGCCAATCAGGTCTTTTTCTCGGCGACGATAACCCCATGGAATTTGACGACGACCATGACCTGAATATGGGCGGGTTTGATCTGCCTCCAGAGACGGGCTTTGGCGAAGGCGGGGAGATCTGGGCTCGTGAGGCTATCCAGCATCCACAAGCTCGCATCCACACCATGGACCTGAATGGCGACGAGAACACAGACAGTGCCGACGCTCAGTATGGCGTGTCCATGATGCACGGCCGCGACCAAGAACAAGAGAACATCCTTAGCTATTTTGACCAAGCTCTTAAGAAGAGCTGGGCAGGGCCTGAGCACTGGCGCATCTCACGCGTCAAGCATTCCGCAAAGACAGCACCGGCGACGAAACGGAAGGAAAGGGAGCCATTCGAGATCGACTTCACAGCTCCAATGACACAGACACTAGCAGATGTGCTCTACACGCCTGCGACATCCAACTCCGCGATATCTCTACCCAAAGCACAATGGAAGTCCAGGTCGCGCAACCTTCTCCCAGACGACAAGCACTTCAACTCCAAACAGCTGCTGCGTCTTTTCCTTAAACCCAAGGCGCGTATGGGCTCACGCAAGGGAGGACGCCGTGCACATGCACTCCCTGGAGATTCAGCACGCGTGGACGAAGCATACTGGGCTGATCAGGGTCAAGAAGGCGACGGTGACGATGCACAGGGAAACTACGACGCCGACTTTTTCCAGGATGATGGTCTCCAGATACCTAGTGGCCCTCTCGACGATGACGATGTGTTTGCAGATGCGCGCGATCACTTCTCGCCGCCGCCTGACGCACCTGAAGCTACACTACCACTCGACGGCATGCAACCGGGTTCGCAGACCGACGCATTCGGTGCTCAGCTAGTGACGCAAAGCCGACGATTTCGGCCTGAATACGTCCAGTACGCAAGGGTCGCAAAGAAGGTGGACGTGAAAAGACTAAAGGACGAACTCTGGCGGGGTATCGGGTTCGATGGCGTAAGTTGTATCTAGCCGTCTTCATCTGACTCGCAAGCTCACAACCATCAGATTTCTGCGCCTCCTCAGCCCAATGTTGCCGACGATCCAGCAAACAAGGCCGTGGATGGTTCGTTGACCTTTACTGACGTTGTCAACAGCCTACAGGCCGTTTACCCAAAACAAACCCTGGCTGATATCTCCACAAGCTACTGCTTTATTTGTTTGTTGCATCTGGCCAACGAACAAGGCCTGGTCATCGAAAATCAGGAAACCTTTGAAAATTTGACGATTCGGAAAGACTTCACGGCGGACTTGGACGTTGGAGGATCGTGAGGAGATTTTGGATAGCTTGCATGAATTGTGTAATAATACAAAGAGAAAGAGAACTATTCTGCCAACAAATCCTTTCCATCAGTGGCGTCGCAACTTGGTTTTCCTGTTGGAAACCCGACGTTGCGCCCTTGTTGTGGCTGTATTAGCCTTCTTCTTGGGCTCCTCCGCGGGTTCGTCATTCGCTTTCCTCTTCCTCTTGGACGATCGAATAGGGTTTGCCAATGTCTCTTCGTACGCAATGAGATCTCTGTACCAACGGGGGTCTACCACCCGACATCGAACCTTGGCTTTAGCACCACCAGCTTCCTGTATGTCGAGCGCTCGCTCCCAATCATCGTTCTTCCACTTCTTCTTGAGCAACATTCGCAAACGCACGGGACAGGTATCCGGGCATTCCTCGTGCCCGAAGCATTTAGGCGTGCCCTCCCTGTAACCACATCGACATGTCTCGCCACCTTTGCAGTCCCGCCTACGCTGGTTGGTGCTGCTCATCTCGATCACTAGATGGGACGGGCGGAAGCAGTGACCATGTCCACAAAGGTGCGAAACATCCCATTTCCCATGACCTTTGAGAATCTGAGAGTCCATCGTAAACTTGATCCAAGGGGCGTATATGCCCAAGCTGGCCGCGATAACGTGCAAACTCAACTCGATGCCCGATAGCTAGTAGGAAGTTAACATGGCCATGTTTCAGCGCGCTTGAAAAGAATCAATGCTTACCTTTTTCATCGGGTGAGATTTCGCCCGAAAACCTGATGGATACTGAAAGTGAACTGTATCCCCCACGTGCCAACAGCCGTTAGGACCCGACACAACAGTGTTCTTGAGCAACAACTCCCAACGTTCTTCCTTAGTGAGCTGATCTAGAGCTCTCAACTTCTGGCTCTTCTGTGACTTCACACCGGGCCAGTCCGAATTGTCAAAGTTGAATGGCAATTGTAATTCTTTTAGAATCCGCTCCTCGTCTCTGCGAGTAGGCTTCTTCTTAGAAATCTCCAACTCGCAATCCGTGAACTCGATTGTGGACAGGTGTTGCTGGAGCCAGTCGTGGGAATCAGGCACAAAGCGGAGGAGCCTGAGCTTCTGGGCCTTCACCTCTTTGACGAAGTCTTCGGGCATCATCCCTAGACGAAGGGGCGGAAGGTTCTTCAAAGAGTAGCCGGTCGCTTCGTCATCCCCCACGGGCTTTGTGAGGTCTTTCCCCCTTGGGGTCGGGCCAGGACGCTTGCGCGACGTCGGAGGCTTGCGCGACTTCAAAGACTGAGTACTTCGAAGTGGCGCTAGGGGAGAGCGCCGAGACCTGATGTTGTACGCGCGCGGAGACTTGCGCGACTTCGGAGACTGAGGGCTTCGAAGTGGCGCTGGGGGAGAGCACCGAGACCTGAGGTTGTAAACCCCCATTGTAGGATGAGAAGAGAAGAAAGTAGAGGTTACGATAAAGTTGGGGAAAGTAGGACATTAGGACGGGACTACAGGCAAAGCTTTATAAACAGCACCAGTTTAATTGTCATAGCTGCTTACACAATGCGTCACGCCGCCATGCTGATATCGGCCCTTCAGGAACTTACCGTGCGTCGAACTGTGATAGCCAAGCCACACAGGTTCCAGCACTGCAGCATTGGCAGGGGACGGGATGTTCTCGGCTAGCAAGTCTCTCCTGAAGCTATCAGTGCACGGGCTACTGCTTGGAGGCAACATGCAGTTGGCTTCAACATTCAGTAAGGGATTGCCTTCGGTGCGGCTGCGAACGATATTGATTCTAATGCAGAGTAGATCAACAACAAGGTAACAATACATGCGGTGTTTCAGACATATCAGTGGCGTGCGTGCCTGCCTCCACTACTCCACTATCTCTGCATAGTCGCACTTGTCAGGCCGGTGGCCATCTCGCTTCAACTGCCGCTCCACCTCTTTCAAACGCTCCGGGCAGAACTCAGGACATTCCTCGTGGCCGAAGCATTTCTGGCCGCGTCCGCGTGCATGGGTACAGCCATGGCCAGAGCATCGCGATCGTCGCAAGTTGACTTGATGTGAGTCGAGCACCAGGTGGGACGGCCGATAACAATGCGAGTGACCGCAAAGATGTGACACTTCGAACTGCTGGGGCACATCTCCCACTATCGTCGTGAACTTGAGCGCCCACCTAAAGCCCATGACATTCATAGCAAGGTGGGTGTATGCTACCTCGCCTTCCAGCTTCTCGTTGAGACATTTGCGATCGACATGGTATACGCGGTAAGCGTTGGCAGCACTCCCGAATGGGCGTTCCAAAGTCGGCGTTCCTTTCGCAACCCAACACCCTTTAGGACCCACAACTTCAGTATCTCGCGTAAGCACTTCCCAGCACTCTGGGTCTCTAATGCGCCTCGAGATCCTGAACCTTGGCGAGCCGAGTCGGTACTTGTGCTTGGTCACCAGGCCCTGGTATCGCTTCTGATTCTTTTGCTTTTGTGGCGCTATGATTCGCTCCTCCAGCAATCGGTTGGGCATGACGGTGGCCTTTCGTGGAATACGGACATGGAGCATGCGCTGTACATGGAGTGCAGGGGTGTTGTGGACTATTGGCACGTTGTCTACGGCGGGAGAATGCACCTGTGGTACATCGCGTCGGCTACCATGACTTTGGGCTGAATCGTTGACAGGTTGAGAAGCCAAGCTGTGTCGTGCATGGCTGTTTGGGATTGGACTTGATCCAGATCCAGATCCGGATCTGGTGGTTGGTGCCATTGTCTGCAGGCAAACCTTGAAATATTGATTGAAAGTAAGAGACGTAAATGGAAAGGCAATGAGAGCCTGCCTTTGCTGTATACTGTTGGCATCAGGATATATACGCAAAGTCAACTCTCCAAATATCATATGGCTGGAGGAGAGGGTACGAGAAGACAGGTATCATCAGCATTTCAGAACTGGTTGCGAGTTGTAGCATGATGCATGGTAACTCAAGACCGCGATGACTTTGGCGCCGCCGAATGAGATGTTCGAAAGCGAGATGCACTCGGGATGGGGCGCTGTGGAGCATCTCGAGACGCAGTTCACGAAAAGACTGATAGCCAGCGGGCAACGCACTGGGAGTTGGTGACCCACCAGCTCGTGGGCAGCCTTGGAAATTACCACTACGATCGGCTGCTGGCTCTTCTCGTTTGTCCGGCACCAGTCGCCGTCCTTCTCCGTCTACATGGCCTGATGTGGCACAGGCGTGGTATTGCAGCACCTGCAAGCGACAGATCGTGTTCGGCGACAGTGACAATGTTCCGTCGCTAATCCTTGCACGCCCGACAAGACAATCGTCTCACCATGTCTCGTCGAGGCTGATACTCCAGGTCGCAAACATCTTACCACCTGGGCAAGCTGGAATGCGCTCACTACCGCTTTGGCTGCGCGTGGAATCCATGGGTGTAGTTGAGCTCCAGATCAGCAGTGTCAAGACAGTCAAGTGGCTTCTTTCCTCGCTCGATGGAGTTGGCATTCCTAAACGCGCACCGCACCGTCGAGTTCATCTCCGCGTCTCCAAATTGCTGACGCCCAAACCGTTAGCGCTTCGCGTGGAGGCCGAGGTTCTTGCGCGCCAAGTCATGGCACGTTCCGCAGCCTGCAGGTAGGCCGCAGATCCTCCTGCACCGTTGAACGGAACTAACAGCTGGCCGGGAAGTGAAACCTACGCTATGCTCGAACCCGCAGCCGTTTGTTCAACTCGGCGCATAATCGGCTAGGCTGGCGTCCTACTCGAGCCTCGCAATACTTATCCGTGGTGAGTGACGAGACGTCATAAGAGGTGCCGTTCATCCGTGTGGGCCTGGCACTCGTTTTTGGCCACTGTCAGTACAGTTCTCCCCTCTGGTTCGGGTGCCTAGCGTCTATGGGGTGTACGGATCTTACAAAGAGAGTCCGAACAACACCAGGCACCCTGACTTGGGGGGGGGGGGGGGGGGG